ATGTCCTTTTATTCAAAAGGATATCAAATTGAACAACACACAGGTGTGCAAGCTGAATCACTCTGATGTGAGAAATTCTATGGGACAACACCGACCACCACTCGTTGTTTTAACTTTATCGTGTCACGATGCGAATTCCAGCGTTGGCTTATGATGAATCTGTGAAAGACTGTGAAAGAGTGAGAAAGAGAATGAGGGGAGAGAGAACGAAAAAAGGAAAAAGAAAAAAAAAGAAAGAAAGAGATAAGAGACGAGGACGTTCCGGAAGCACCAAATTAGTACGATGAGATAGTCGGGAAATTATCTTCTGATATTAATATCCAACACGCGATGCTCGCGTTGCCATCCTTTTGTCACAAAAGACAAACAGAAGAAGGACTAATGCGAAAATCATTTAGTCTATCCTTCCTTTTTCTATATTTTTTCATTATTTATTTTATATTCACTTTAGAATATTTTTCCTAAGCAAACAAATTGGATAAAGTTTTCATACGTGATATTTAAATCGACACGACGAATAAGTTTTTCGCAAATTCACGAACGTGACTTTCTCTCGTTATCATAACGTAAAAGCAGGACTGGTCGTACACTATCATTAAAGTATCATAAAACTTGTACGTAGTATATATGAGTTGAAAAAAACATAAAAAAAAAAAAAAAATAAAAAAAGACCAGAAAAAAAATAAGATCGATTTGTGACAAATTTCTTCCGTTCCACGAGTTCCACGCAAGGAATCTTCGAGTTACTTCGTGAAAAATGAGTTTGAAGATAAGCGAGTAGGTGTTGGGAGATTATTAATCGTAGAATAATAAGAGAGAGAAAGAGAAAGGGAGAAGGAAAAAATGATCGATAACTTCCGTTAAGAAACGAGCGATACGAATAACGAGCATCGTGAGTGCTGCCTTTTGGAACCACAAAAAAAAATAGAAAAAATAGAAAAAATAGAAAAATAAATATTCAAACTACACTTATACAACCTTTTTCCTTTTAAAGGGCCATTTATTTCTCTCGTGTCATTATAGTGTATACCTTGATTCGATAAACACCGAATAATTTCACAGAATCACAAACAAATATTTTCTTCGATACGCACTTGAAAAATTTCAAAATTCGTTTCACAATTAAACTCGCCAATCTTTTCGAATATCAATCATGATCTTTTTTATTTAATAATAACAACAATAGCAATATTACGTAATATCTCAACGTAATGAGCGTTAATTTTTCATGAAAAACGATGGGAGGAGGAGTTGGGTGGTATAACCAAAAGAAAAGAAAAGAAATTTCAAACTAGAATCCGCGATGATGGTGGATAAATTTAGAAATTATAAACGATCCAAATATTTTGAAAAAACGCGCGCTTTTTTCTTCTCTTGCCTCTCTCTCTCTCTCTCTCTCTCTCTCTCTTTCTCGCGCGTGCTAGAGAAAAAGAGATGAATAAATGGATGATAAATGATAAATCGAAGAAACAGATGAAGACGAAAAGAGATGCGCCGACGGGACTTGGCGCAAGACTGGAGCAGCAAATCGCCGTAGACAAGATACTCCGAGAGAGGGCTCATCCGGAGAGTGAAGTCTCTCCAGCATCTTTCCCTCTCTCCCTCTTTTACCCAATCCCACCCTTTCCTTCTTTCTTACTCACTCTTTATCGCACTTACACGTAAGCTTCTTTCCCTTTCCCTCTTATTTTCTTTCTCACTCTCTCTCTCTTTCTCTCTCTTTCTCTCTTTTTTTCTTTTACTCTTCCTATCTTTCTCTTTCATTTTCCCCCATCTTCGAACGAAGACGATGCTCTCAACCCTTCTTCTACCATCTTCTTGTCAACGCTCACATGCATATATGAACATCATTCTTTCTTTTTCTTTCTTTCTTTCTTTCTCTCTCTCTCTCTCTCTCTCTCTCTCTCTCTCTCTCTCTCTCTCTCTCTTTCTCTTGTTCTATTTCTTTCCTTATCCGCAATAATTTAAACGTAATCCAACACAATTATGAACAGGCACGCGTACTTATTCGCACGATAATGAAAAGAATTAAAAAAAAAAATATATATATATATTTACTTTATTCGAGTCACATCAATCTTAATTAATTGATGTAAAGACAAATAAAAAGATGCATTCCTTCTAAACTGTCTTCTTATTTCATTTGTAATGTAGGACAAATGGATCGCTCGGAAAGCTTTCTTATCTTGGCTCATAGTTGTCTTAAGAATTTTTTGAATTTTTTTTTAATATTGTTCGCAATACCATATTAGAGAAACGAATCGCGTTGACGCGAAAAACAAACGTCTGTTTGATAAATAAACAATTAGACACGCACTCGGTTCGTTGTTCGTCGCGTAATACTAATACACGACCGTTGCGTTATCGTGAAAGTAATATTTTACACGATAAGTTAACAGTTTTATTGTTGAGATCTCGTTCTACATTAGAATATTAGAATAACAATGATGGTAATTTAGGTATGCGAAAAGTAGGTCGGAGAATACTTTCGCAATGTATTTTATCGAAATGACGAGAGCATTGATTAAGAAATATGTTAGTGACATTGACCTTTTGTTTTGGACCAATAAATCTGTTTCTAGACATAAGTATAAATTGTATTAAGTTCTACAAATAATGATCTCTCGAATCCCATTACATTTCAAATAAAAATTATATTTTTTTATCGTATAATATTAATTAATTAAAATGATAGAAAAAATAAAAAGAAAATCTTTATAATCCAATAAATCAAACTAAATGATTTTTCATTGGACGAATAATACTATTCATTATGTAAGTACTTGGATGATCGTAAAAAAAAAGAAAAGAAAAAGAAAAAAGAGAAAAAAATCTATCGTCCGATTTTAATGAATCAACAAAGAGAGAATAGAGTTCGATGCGGGCAAGAATATCGTCGAGGTGACGAATCGCAATCGCGATTGGTGTGAATGCGTGAGAAAGAAGGAAGGATAATGATGCGATGCTTGTTAATTAGGGCATATAAAGGCGTATGTAGTGTATCTATAGTAGAACGGAACCGCCTTTGATACGAAACGATATCGTAGGAGAGATGTCAAATAGATAAAAGGAACGATGTTCATTCGCTGTAATTACCACTTTATTGTCTTTTATATCGCAAATAAAGCTACCTATCTCCTAACTTTACTTGCTTGCAAACCAAACTAAACGATCATTTCCATTTTCTATGTAGTTGTATAAATCTTTGCAAAGAAGAAAAGCCGATTGAGAATCCTCTGCGGAGTAGTCAATTCGTTAGGTTCGTTAGGTGGATTCCTCTTGTTAAACGAGCCATGCAAAATGAACGTGCTTCTGTTGTATAGATGCACATAGGTTTCTTCTCTCCGTGAATTCTTCTTTCAAACCTTCCCAATGCTTCCTCCTTCGAGAAAAGACGGACGACGAGGAAGACGACGACGACGACGACGACGACGACGATGTCGACACGAGTAACAAACTCCTGGGGGGTCCGAGAACGGTGTCGGATGGCGGCAAAGATAATGTTTCACGATGAAAGACACGGGAAGATACGATCGAGGAAGGTCGAGTTGTTTGAACCGTTCCATAGAAAATAGCCTCCGAAAATCTCAGTTTCAAACAAATTTTCTTTATAATAGGATATTATCTGAATAATCTGTTTATTTATTTTCTTCTGTTTATTTTTTTTATTCATATTATTCTAAAAAAAGGGGACATTTCGTACAAAAAAAAAAGATTATTTATTAACTTCAAAATAGGAAGGACCAAAAAAAAAAACAAATAAAAATGACTTCTTTTTCGAAGAATTCGAATTTGTAGAATTTTGAAAGGATTTCGGTTGTATCTGTGTGTGTATATAGGATTTGTTATGTCGGTTGGCATTATATATGAGAATAACTCTTATTCATTTTCTTCCATTTCTTCTTCCATGGTAGAAAATATAGAAAAAGACAGAAAGAGAAAGAGAGATGATGAACTAACCGCTAACAAACACGAAGGACAATGATTACCGGCTCGGCGGGTGCTCTCACACCGACACGCGACTTCTGATCCTTCACGCACGATCCAACACCGTGTCTACACAACAGCTACTGCACCTGCAATCAAGGAGCATACGCAAACGTGCTTGGCTCGCTATCGGACACGTACAGTGTACTCGATTAACAACTTTCTAGAAAATTCTAACCATTTTTCAACAATTAATACGAACTAATACAATATTTATCACAAAATTACACAATACTTTTATATTTGTATATGTCATTTTTATAACGAGCGTACGATCTCCGTTTAAAATTAAATCAAAACGTTCAAAGTATACCTGTAAAATGAATTTATTCAAAATCAATTCAAAACCCTCGTAATTTCGTAAACAACAAATTAATGCAAACAAAAAAAACAAAAAAGAAACAAGAAGATAAAATATATTATTTATTTAATTAAAGATATTATTACGTTGAGATCATAGGTATCATAATTTGTGATAATCTGATAAGTTCAACGACTAACACTGTACCTTAAGTCACCTAGGTTTATTATGAATCCTTTTTGCTTCCTCGTCGTCTTTCTCGTAATTTTGTAATAATCGTTGGTGGGGCGATACGGTAGAGGAAAGAGAGACTGGTCTGGTGTATGAAAAATCGTCAGAACGATAATCATGGTTTTTTTGAGAGGCCGTCGGGAGTGGCGTCATTAAAAGGTATATCGCGCACCGTCATCAACAACGCGATATATGTAAGCCTGTATATTCTTGCCACAGAGCATGATCTACGTAGAGAAACTTCTACGGAAAAGCAACAGTCTATCCTTGACCGGAGGAATCGAGATAATTCTAATCAAAAATATACGAAAGAGTGAAAAGAACTTCGCGCTTTTCTCATAATCATTTTAATTAATCATCTAACAATTCTAAACGCAAACGATTTCGTAGAAATTTCCTTTAAAATTGTCGATGACATAGATATTTACAATAATAATCGATTAAATTATGAATATTTTTTTTGTTTTTTTTTTCGTTTGTTTTATCTTTTTACATTTTTCTTTCCGCCTTTCACTTTTATCGAAGTATCAATCGATTTAACACTAGAAATATAAGCTTGACGCATCTCGTAAGCTTCCTCAAGCTGAGCTTTTCTTTGAGAACAATTTTCTTCGTAAACGTTCCACAATTTTTCATATTTTCTTATTCGTTCCAACGACCGATCGGTTAAACGTTGAATAAAATGATCGTGAGAATGAATAAATTCAAGAACTTCAGCGTATCGTCGATCTTTTAACATTTCTTCCTCCGATTTGGTTCTCGTTCGACGTTCTTCCCCTTTTTCTTCAATTTTTTCGTACCGACTTAAATCTAATTTTGGTAAATCGAAACCACGATATGGAGGTTTCTTCAGAGACCTAACGGCAAATTTTTCTGTTGAAGACAATGACCGACAAATTTTCGATGAGTTTCGAACTTTGTGTTTTTCCATACGTTCGTTCGTTTTAATCAAAATTTTGTTATTTAAATTTGTCAAAGAAGTTGGAGGTAAAGCGTAGGTGTTTAAAAAAGTTTCTCTGAATTCTTTGCAACGTTTAGGTCGTTCAGGATCGTCTCTTGACCAGGATTTTTTCAAAGATGCTATCTCCTGTTCTCTTCTTCTGTCTTGAATAATCTTTTTAATAACAAAAACAAATGTTAATTATTGGAAATACATTTATTTTATTTCATTATTTTTTTTCTTTTTTCTTTTTAGCAATAAAATTACCTCTATACCGCTGTCAGCATCGATGACAGCTTGCAATTTCCAAAAAGGTGGATCCAAGTATTGATCGATCTGATGTTTTGAACTACGTTTCGTTCTTGTCGTTTCAGATCTCTGTAGTTTAATAATGGAACTATTACTAGATTTAGTTCGAACTGGTACGTTTTCCCTTTTTGTCTTCTTCTCCAATACCTTGACAAAATTATAATTCAATCATTTAATTATTTTTATATCATTTATAATTAATTTGCATACTTACCACTGACCATTCAGCATCGGTTAATGGCCAACTATTATCAAGAACAAATGCCTCGATGTAATAAATAGTTCGTGGATTTTCCTTCTCTATAAATTCTTCTTTTAATTTCAAATACACAACTGGAATACACAAAACTGATCTACCTTCGATTTCTAATAAAACATTTTCTTTATCATCCACGATTCTAATTTTCATTTGAACCAATTCGTAAGAAGTCATTAATCTTAATGACAAGACACTATCTTTAACGATATTAACAATCCATTTGGAAATGAAATTCATTGTGTTAGGTATATAAGTATTAAATGTTTCTTCGATAATTAAAGTAGGTATTTTCGTGTTCAAGGATATTGGTTCCTTGTCAGTTAATTGATAAAACATTGATTTCCCCTTGATGGTAACAAAATGAAGAATCCATTCCGTGTCTCTTAATTTTTGATTATCACACCATCCATAAGCGAACAACGTGTAACCGACAGTTGTATAAGGATAATTAGACGGTGCAACGTTGTTAACGATTCTCCACATTTCTCGACCGGTTTCGTTGTCGAATAATCGCAAATTGTAACTCGGTAAGTTAGTAAAAAGTTGAATCGTTCCAAAGATCGTTTCGTTTTCTTTTGCGTTCACGATTAGTCTTGTTATTGGAATCCATTGATTGGGTTTAACATTTAACAAAAGTCCTTTGCACTCTTGAATCTGGAACAAAGTAAAAAATATATTTTTTCTATATATATTTTTTGTGTGTATATTAATTCTTTAAAATTACCTTTAATACGTATTGAAAGTCTTTAGAGCAAGGATAAGCTTTGTTAAATCGTTGATTTTTTTGAATGACCTTTCGAAGCAAACTACACGCTAACGACTCGCCATTAGAATAATCGAAAAGTTCAGCGATCTTTAATAGACTCGTTAAGATCTTCGAATGATCCTTGTGATTAGTATCGTGTCGCTGTTTATAACGTTTAACGATCACCATCTTAAAAAAAGATTGAATCACCCTTGCCGCTTGATTATAATCGATCCAAACCATTTCGCCGTCGATCGATTCGCTCGAGTAATTTTCTTTAAGCGAGGACGCGTCGTCGATCTCTCGGAATGCATTTAAGATGATCGACGGAGTTTTGTGACGTTCTAAACCGATTGTAGGATCTAGAAAAAATATTCTCAAGGAAGATAAAGTCTCGGGTACGTCTTCCGATTTGAAAATCATTTTTATCGATTCCAATAATTCTTCCATGAAGTGCTCGTGTATTTGTTTGAAAAAAGTTCGATCTCGTTTTTCGGTAAAGCCCCTTAAATCCGGCATATAACTTCGATAAAATGTCATCAAGTTCGAGATATAATCTTTACTACCAAAACTCAAAAAAGCTTTAGCTATGGAATTGCTAACGTGTTTGACAAGAAAATCAATTCTATCCGATTCCGTGATCATTAACCGATGTATTTTAAGACGATCACCAACGTGAAAGATCGTGTTAGATGAGATAGATACGAAACAACGTGACTCCGATCGACAATAAATACGCAAAAGATGTCTTCCTGCTTCCAATTCCAGTACGCTTGACTTGGTACCAGACGTTGAAATTGATATAAGTGTTCTTGATTCGGTCGGCCTGAAAAACCAACTGTGTTTTTCTACGATGAGATAACTCACATCTTCAGATGATAATCTTATCGTTATCAAATCATCGACCTCTTCTTCGTTAGAGACTAAACTCGAAAATGGTAATCGTTCTTCCATGCTACTCAAATTTATTAACAAGAACTTATCCTCGAGTGAATCACAGAAAAGATACAACGGCTCGTTCCTAGACGATTTCATAGTTTTAGGCCAAGCATAAGTGTTCATAAATTCAATCGAATCACCGTGAACAACGTCGGATGTTGGACTCTTTTTGCTACCTCTTTTCTTCTGTTCCCTCGATGCCAAATTCATTTTCTTCTGATCATCCAACGTAAAGGAATCAGACATTCTAAGAGTAAATTCGAAATACTCAGGCTTGTAAAAGAGTTGAACTGTTTTGACGTACGATGCCATTTTATTGAAATCGCACCAAAAACTTATGTCCTCTATCGTATCTTCTTTCATATTATTATTCAAAGACGTTATTTTCTGGTATTTGTTTTTCCCAAAAAAATCGTTATTAAAGAAATATCGATTACTCTTGCATTGTCTCAACGGACTAACGATTTTCAAACAACGAATAGGAATAAAATATTCCGCTGGATCGAGCAAACCTCGATCGATGGCCCAATTTATCCATCGATATTCTTTCCATCTTGCTAAAGGTTCTTTTATCTAATTAAGAGAAAATTGTCGATACATTTCAAAAAAATTCTATCTGTTTGTCCATTTTATTAAAACAAAAAGTGTATCATAGAAAAATAGTTTACGTCTTTGGGATTCAATGGAAGATCACGCGATTGAACAACGTGAACCAAATGGCTCCAACAAGGCGACAAACCGACCACTGTCTCGAGCGTGACCTCTTTCATATCTTTCAAATCGAGAAACAGCGTGATAGGTCGAGGTTTATCAGGAAGTTGCAACCCTTCAATGCCTCTTCGAATTCTTTTCCCTTTTATGCTCGACTTTTTCTCGACTTTTTCGTCTAAACAAAAAATATAAAAATCCTTTTGATAAGAAAAAGATAAATAATCGCTGGATCATTTTTTAATATTTTTTTTTTCTTAACAAAGTTCATCTATGGAAATACTGTGTTTAGAGACAACTATTTGTTTATCCTATAAAATTTATCAATGATGACAAAAGGAAAACAAACCTAGCTCTACGTTTTCCGAGCTCGTTCCTTCTTTCGTCAATTCAAAGTGTTCAGCATATTTCACTAAGAATTCCCATTTGTCTCGAGAAGAAAGATGAACAACGTCCAAAGACAAACAGATCCATCCTGTCAAAACAAATAAATTAATTAAATTTTTGTAATAAATATTTTTTAACAGGCTAACATATTAAATGGAGCGTTTGTTCTATTTGCAAACAAATATTTTCCTTGTTAACAATTATATACTTGAATTTTATTCAAACATAATTATGTAATAATTTAATATAAGCATTTATGAGTTAAAAATAATACATTGTTTATTTAATTATGTTAATATTTCTTTTTTTTTCGTACCAGTGAGACAAGAAATCAGATTAAAATCCACGATTTCTCTTCGCTGGGACCACGTTAAAGATGCGATTTTTAATAAAGCTTTTGCCAAAAGTATTGGCCATAATTCAAAATGATTATCTGTAGTCGGTAACACAGGATTACAGTCCTTATCGACTGGTATAAAATCATCTACCACTATTCGACGCCAACATCCCAGAAAATGAAGACGTACGATGTATTTTCCTAATTAAATATTATGCTTATTATATCCTATAAATTATAATTAGATAAACGAAAAATATGTAAAATTTACATTTACCATTTGGATTAATAATTGGACGATGATGCACGTTACGACCAGCTTTATTATTCGAATAAATGTGCATCCAACCCTGCCATTTTTCTTTTCGTCCATTCCAAATAAAATGATCTGATTCTCCACTCACTTCTAAACCATTTTTCCCACAATATTGTAGATTTACTATACTTGAAATAAAACATCTGACGAACTAAATAGTATTCGTATAGAAAGTTTAATTTAAAAAAATCTTTTCTTTTAATAAAATTTCGATAAATTTCGACGTACTTCACTGTGCAACAGATGCTTGTTCCGTTTGACTAAATCAGGATATTCTCCGGTCATAGTAAAGACAGTTAAAGGTTCCTAAAATTATCTTTTTTTGTATGTATATTAAATAAATATATTCATTAATTTGAATATACCTTTAAATCTTTTAAATAGCGTGGACGAATCCATTCGTACGGTTCCAAAGATGGAGGCATCGGAGTTGATTCCGTGTCTAAAAATAATCCATCTTCCCCGTCTACATTTTTAATTAATTAAATTAATTGTTTTTTTATTTTATACATTAACAGGTTAGAAATATTTTTAATGTATATTATTTACTTTTTGGTAAAGACCATTTTTCGTTATTTAATTCTGTATCTTTCCATTCGGACCAAGGTATGGAAATATTTTCGTTCGAGCAATGGTTAAAATTTGTATCTATTAATTTTTTCGATCTTACCGAAGCGTCCATTTGTATTTTATTTATTACAAATATATTATTATAATAATATGTTGCATTTGTTTTTTTTTATGTAAACGTATCATTATTACTTAATCATTTTTTTATAAAAATATATATAAGGCTTCACATTTGAAAAATGTATATCTTTATTATTTATTCAATTTATTATACACTTCTGTATTTTTGTAAAACAGTGGAATGTATATATATATATTTATATATATATCTCTATACTGTAAAATGAAGATTTCCGAATTTCATGATATTAAAAGAAAAACCTCTATAAAAAAATTCTACATATTATTAAACGCAATCGTAGAATTGTTAGTACCTAATGTTTATTATCGCAATTTCAATTGCAATAATAAGAATAAAAACTAATTAGCAAAATAATAAGAATTATTACAATAGTAATAAAACATTTTACAAAAAATAATTATTATTACATTTCAATATTATTATTATTATTATTATTATTATTATTAATATTATTATTGTTCGCTTATTCTACTTGCTTAGTGGTTGTTAATTATTGTTATTAATTAAACTAAAGGGAAATATTAATAATCAAGTAATTGTCTTTTTAACGAAAATTACATGTAAGTAGCTATCATTTAAGTAGCAATATTTATCCCTGTCGCTGGATCACCGTTACATAGAATTAATTAAAACATATATAAGAAATATGTCACAGATTATGATCTATCCTGTCATTCGCATATAACGAGTTCTTTTAAGTCTTTAAACTATACATATGTATATATAGATATAGTAACAGTTAATTCATAAACATTCGAAGAAATTCATTGCTCAAATTATATTGAACTTGTTCTGTATGAAATGTATTGTTTAAATATTTTCTTTCTCTTACGAAAAATTGTCATTTTATGTATACGATTATTTGAACTATGAAAATAATGATTATTAGATTATCTCAATAATGTAGAATTATTCTCTCTAAATGGAGTTTATCAAAATATATATCTTTAAACGATATACATTTACAATTACTTACATATATTCGGGATCATTGATCAAATAATTAACATCTTTGTAACAACGGAAAAATATTACAAATTGTAGCAGCAGTAAAAGCGTATTATTATACAGAAAAATGTATTAGATCCGAATAACAGGATTTTTTTATGTACTAAATACATATTGTATACATTTAAATGCGATCAAACGTTATAACACTTAAGTTATTTTTTTTTTTTGAAACACTTGAACCGTTTGAAACATTTCAAGCGCTAGACCATCAGTTAGAGCCATTAAATAATAGATTTATTTATTTTTAATTCATGAATTATTATCTAATACGTGCATCCATATTAATTATGCAGTTAAACGTAATGTAAGCTTGATAAAAAAATATGAATTATTTTCTCGGTCAAAAAATTATCCTACTAGAATTCCTGATGTAGTCTTTATATTCGTACATGTATGTCATTGTGTGTATGTGTATGTGTGTGTGCCCTTATTTGTGTGTAAAATTGCTTTTATTTTATTTTACCAAAAAATGTATTTCTATATTTGGATAGCAAGAACCAGCTTGCTTTACAACAGCGAGGATTCAATGATAGCAAATGTACTTCATAAATGTTTTAGATCCAAATACAAATTATTTTCAATATTTTATCAATTTTGGTCATTTTCGAAAATCCAATTCATTTCGATTTAATTTGATATTTTTTATGTATTGGAAAATCTTTAGGAGCTTGTTTTATATTTATGGTGCCTTGATTGTTGCCGTTGTTTCATTTACTTAATTTTACTTCCTTTTCTTTTTACATCATTTTGGCACAAATTTTATTATCTCTCGATACTTCTTATAATTCGACTAATTAGGCGAAATATTCTTTCCAAAAACATAAAATATGTTTAAGCATTGAGTTCAAAATGAACGTATAAGAAAGATTAACTGGCCGTGTATTTAAGACTCCATACATGTGTTTGTGTATATTATCATAATACTTTTTAAGTATATTTAATCTCACACGCAAAAGATTGATATCCTTTGGTATAGATTACACTTCCTAAATGTATTTGTATGCTCAACTAATCTGTGCTCCAGTATTGGCAGTGCTTGAGATATTTTTAGGCATTTTTTTAAGCATTTTTTTCTAATATAACTAATTGTTTAAGACCGCTAGATTCAAGAAATAAATCTATTGATATTATATACGGTTTTGATATCGTATGAACAATTTCAAATCATTTTCTTTTCCTAGAAATAATTCAAGCTTGTTAGTATCAAATTTGGCACCACATACTAAGCTCTCTGACGTATGTGAAATCGATTACTCTTTGATAAAACATAATATATAATATATATATAAGATTATTGCATATTTATACGATAAAATTTGATACGATGAATAAAGGGCCTGATATTAATGGACGGTAGGTTACATCTCGTCAGTTTTAAATCAATCATGATCAGGGATCAATATGTTTGTATGAAATAAAAAAATAAATCTTACAGAAACATTGGATATAAACCTTCACAAATATTAGAGATCTAATATCTCCTGTATAGCAAAAAACTTCGAATGAAGTTAGGAGATCAAAATGTCATCGTATTTTGCATTACTGCTTGGTATCGTCAATTCCTATTATTACAACATTTCTGTATGTGTTTAACATATTTTTCCAGGTCCGGATGCACGTTGATC